ATTCCAGTTCTGGGAATTTAACTGAAGACAACAAAAACACTAATTTGAAAAGATAAACACACCCCAATGTTAGTAGCAGCACTGTTTACAAAAGCCAAGACATGGAAACCTCAGTGTCCACTGGACGAATGGATAAAGAAAAGTGTGGTATATACACACGATGGAATATTACTCAGTCACAAAAGTGGAAATCCTGCCATCTGAAACAACATGGACCTTAAGGGAATTATACCAAGTGAAATAAGAGACAGAAAAACAAACACTGTATCAGCGTGTGAGTGGTAGTCACTCAGTCGTGTCTTGACTCTTTGTGAACCCGTGAACCGTAGCCCGCCAGGCTCCTCTGTCCATGGAATTCTCCAGGCAAGTATACTGGAGTGGGTTGCCATTTCTTCTTTCATTTATATTTGGAATCTAAGAAACAAAAAGTATCAAGCTCACAGTACAAAGAATAGATCAGTGGTTGCCAGGGTGGGTAGTTGAGGGGTGGGCAAAATGGGTGAAAGGGATCAAAAGGGACAGAATTACAGTTATAAAATGTCATGATGAGGTAATGTACTGCATGGTGACTATAGTTAATACTGTATTGCATATTTGAAAGCTGCTAAGAGAAAGAGATTTAAGGGACTAGATCTGACAGAGAGCCTGATGACCTATGGACGGAGGTTCGTAACATTGTACAGGAGACAGGGATCAAGACCATCCCCATGGAAAAGAAATGCAAAAAGGCAAAATGGTTGTCTGAGAAGGCCTTACAAATAGTTGTGGAAAGAAGAGAAGTGAAAAGCAAAGGAGAAAAGAAAAATATTCCCATTTGAATACAGAGTTCCAAAGAATAGCCAGGAGAGAGAAGAAAGCCTTCCTCAGTGATCAGTGCAAAGAAATAGAGGAAAACAACAGAATGGGAAAGACTAGAGATCTCTTCAAAAAAATTAGAGATACCAAGGGAACATTTCATGCAAAGATGGGTTCGATAAAGGACAGAAATGGTATGGACCTAACAGAAGCAGAAGATATTAAGAAGAGGTAGCAAGAATACACAGAAGAACTGTACAAAAAAGATCTTCATGACTCAGATAATCACAGTGGTGTGATCACTCACCTAGAGCCAGACATCCTGGAATGTGAAGTCAAGTGGGCCTTAGGAAGCATCACTATGAACAAAGCTAGTGGAGGTGATGAAATTCCAGTTGAGCTATTTCAAATCCTGAATGATGATGCTGTGAAAGTGTTGCACTCAATATGCCAGCAAATTTGGAAAGCTCAGCAGTGGCCACAGGACTGGAAAAGGTCAGTTTTCATTCCAGTCCCAAAGAAAGGCAATCCCAAAGAATGCTCAAACTACCACACAATTGCACTCATCTCACACGCTAGGAAAGTAATGCTCAAAATTCTCCAAGTCAGGCTTCAGCAATACATGAACTGTGAACTTCCAGATGTTCAAGCTGGTTTTAGAAAAGGCAGAGGAACCAGAGATCAAATTGCCAACATCCACTGGATCATCGAAAAAGCAAGAGTTCCAGAAAAACATCTATTTCTGCTTTATTGACTATGCCAAAGCCTTTGACTATGTGGATCACAATAAACTGTGGAAAATTCTGAAAGAGATGGGAATACCAGACCACCTGACCTGCCTCTTGAGAAACCTGTATGCAGGTCAGGAAGCAACAGTTAGAACTGGACATGGAACAACAGACTGGTTCCAAATAGGAAAAGGAGTACGTCAAGGCTGTATATTGTCACCCTGCTTATTTAACTTATATGCAGAGTACATCATGAGAAATGCTGGGCTGGAAGAAGCACAAGCTGGAATGAAGATTGCCGGGAGAAACATCAATAACCTCAGATATGCAGATGATACCACCCTTATGGCAGAAAGTGAAGATGAACTAAAAAGCCTCTTGAAAGTGAAAGCGGAGAGTAAAAAAGCTGGCTTAAAGCTCAACATTCAGAAAACTAAGATCATGGCACCTGGTCCCATCACTTCATGGGAAATAGATGGAGAGACAGTGGAAACAATGTCAGACTTTATTTTGGGGGGCTCCAAAATCACTGCAGATGGTGACTGCAGCCATGAAATTAAAAGACACTTACTCCTTGGAAGGAAAGTTATGACCAACCTAGATATCATATTAAAAAGCAGAGACATTAATTTGCCAACAAAGGTCCGTCTGGTCAAGGCTATGGTTTTCCCAGTGGTCATGTATGGATGTGAGAGTTGGACTGTGAGGAAAGCTGAGCACTGAAAAATTGATGCTTTTGAACTGTGGTGTTGGAGAAGACTCTTGAGAGTCCCTTGGACTGCAAGGAGATCCAACCAGTCCATCCTAAAGGAGATCAGTCCTGGGTGTTCATTGGAAGCCCTGACGCTGAAGCTGAAACTCCAATACTTTGGCCACCTCATGTGAAGAGTTCACTCATTGGAAAAGACCCTGATGCTGGGAGGGATTGGGGGCAGGAGGAGAAGGGGGCGACAGAGGATGAGATGGCTGGATGGCATCACCAACTCGATGGGCATGAGTTTGAGTAAATTCCGGGAGTTGGTGATGGACAGGGAGGCCTGGCATGCTGCGATTCATGGGGTCGCAAAGAGTCGGACATGACTGAGCAACTGAACTGAACTGAACTGAAGATGCTAAAATAATAGAAGTCTTAAATCATAATAAAATAATTAGAAGTCTTAATCATAAGAAAAAAGAGACAAAATATAGCTAGACTAATTGTGATTATCCCAATGTATACAATGCATACACCTTGTATGCATTCACAATGTATACAAATAACAAGTCATTATGTTGTACACCTGAAATCCACATAATGTTAGAGGTCAATTATACCTCAATAAAAAATAAATTCACCACTGTCTCCCATTCTTTTCTATACTGAATCCCAGATACTTGTCTAGATAAGGAATTCAAATTTAATGGACAGCAGAACTAGAATTCTCAACTGATCATAAAGATTCATCTGTCCCAGGACCAGAAAACTTAGGGGATGGGTAGGATTCCCATTACTTGGGAGTCAAAAATAAAGAATGTGACCTGGGCTTAACTTGGTGGTACTGTTTATACTCCAGAGTCCCCCATGGACTCCAGCTAAGACTACCTCTTTGCTTTACAAGTAAAACTTCTATGAATATTAAAAAATAAAAAAATGTAAATGTGACTGCTCCATGGGGGCATGAGTGTCTGAAAGCCAGGGTAGGAGTCTTAACTCCTAATAGCCAAGAATCTACCCCAACCCACAACAAAGAAAAAAAGAAAGAAGACTGAGAATCAGAGACTAGGAGGTACCTTTTTTGTCCTGTTCATCATTAGATCTTTAGGGTTCAGCATAGCACCTGACATATAGATGAATACAGTTTTGCTGATGGAAGAATTACAGATCTCCATCCCAGTATGCGAGCCGGCATAGACACTCTGGGTTAGAGTCTGAGCAGCTGGGGTGAGGAAGACAGGCTTCGTGCCTTGTGTGCTGCAGCAGTTCTTGCCCTGGAGACTCACCCCCTTACAACCTAGGTTTTAATCTTTGCTATTTGCTTTGGGCAATGGGAAGTTATTCATTTTTCTTAGGTTCCTAGTGAATACAGTATCTTAAGTGGAAAAAGTGAACTGCCACATCCAGATCAAGGCAGTTGGGTAATCACAATTTCTTCATAATAAAATGAATTTAGACTATAAAATCTCTAAGATTCCTGCCAGCCCCAAAGTTCTATAATTAAATTGACTAAAAGTTAAGAAGGGAAATAGGACATTCATTCAACAAATATGTACTACTATGTGCTGAAAACAAGGGATAAAAATATCATTAAGGTGGTCTGTCCTGGAAGCCTGTAAAGCCAACTGAGAAAATAAACACTAAATCCTTAAAACACTGTGTAAGCTTCATGAGGTAACATTTCCTGAGCACTTAGTATATGGCAGTACTGTTCTGAGCCCTTTACAATTTAACCTCATAATTCTATTAGACAGGTACTATTATTATCCCCATTCCTCAGTTAAAGAAACTGAGACATAAAGAGTTAAATAACTTACCAGTAAATGGCAGAGCAAGTTATCTGTATTCAGAGCCCATATTCAACCATATGCCAATTAGCTGGATTGCCATGATATGAGACCCAGGAGTGTCATGGATGAGGGCACACAGACCCTTTCCCTACAAGCTCCTAGAGATTTTGTGACACTAAGACGGTTTTGATCACATTTTCTTTGGCCCTTGGTGAGGTCTCCATCAACTTAACAGACAACTTTGAGAAAAACCATCTCTTCAGAGTCCACAGAGAGCTGGGTTCAAATTGTAGGTTTACCACTTTACTGGTGAACTTGACCAAATCTAATTCTCATTTGCTTAATGGGAGTAACAGTGCTTCACTGGGAGGTCAGGAGGATTAAATATTAAGTCAAGCCATATGAAATGGTTGTTTCTGGAGGTTAAAAATAGCGGTGGAATTTACCAAAATAGTTAGCTTTCCTTTGTGCTTCTCCTAGCCCATCTAGGGCACTCTCCCGCTCCACTCTTTGGGTGGCCCTGGGGATTCGTTAAGTTGCACACTGTTGACCTACCCTGTGAAAGCTAGTAAATTAGCCTTGGGACAGCCTCAGGAGATTTGGCAATTACTACAAGGATCTAGAGCTACTTTCCAGCCAGCCAAAAGCACATCCCTTGGGGACCAGAGAAGTCAAGAACCATGACAGTCCTGTGCCCCGACACAAACTCAGCACACTTTCGCTTTTCTTCCCAAGTCCCATTTTGTCCTTGTTTATCGCTATAGGACAGACAACTGATGTTGGTTGCATTTTGAAACGTGGGAACTGAGGCTTAGAGAGGGTCAGGCCTCATCCAAGGTCTCAGGCATTGCACAGTGCTGGCAATAACGAGGGTTTGGCGTTAGATCTATCAGCCAAGGAACTGCCTCTAGTTGTGTGACCTCCACAAGGTCCTTGAACCTTTCTCTCCGACTGTTTATCTTCTGGAGAAGGGCGCTATTACCTCCATTTCTCCTACCGCTCGCTTTCCGATTCAATCCAGCCTTTGGGGTGCTCCCGCTGTGGCAAGAGGACCAGTGCAGAGACACTGCGGAGAGAGCGCAGGCATCAGAGCTTTGAGTCTGCGGACGCACACCCGCAGCTCCCTGGAAATACCGGTGTTTACTTTCGACCAGAGACAGAACTTGGCTTGACATCACCAGGTTCAAGCCGACTGCTAGAGGCGAACAAGTGCCAGAACAGAGGAACTGAAACAACCCAGCCCCCGGAAAGGCCGACAGTTGAGCCAATCCCACAGCAGGCGGGGCCAGAAAGCTCGGGCGGGTACGGCCCGCGCCTGCGCGCCGCCATCTTGCTCCAGAAGGGACCGCCTCCCTCCCGTTTGGGGGCTGGCTAGCCAGAAGGCGGGGCTTCGCGACTCGGCGGGGCGTGGCCCGGCGATGGCGACCGCGGATCCAGACGGGCATGCTGCGCGCTCTATCCCGGGACCCCGGCCCAGCGGGACGGGAGCTGCGGGGCTGCCCTCCGGGCGAAGCGGCATTGGAGCCCCCCGGTTGGGGGAGCGGATCCCGGCGGCCGTGGAGAAGCGGGGCCCGTACATGGTTGCGCGCGCGCCTTCCATTCAGGCCAAGCTGCGTGAGTGCGGCCCGATGAGGGGTCTCTGCTTGGGCGGGCTGCCGCGTTCCCGGGCTGGCTCCGGAGCGCCGCTGGGGCGACCCCGGAGGGGCAACTGCAGCCCGTTCCCGCATCCGAAAATCTGTTCGGAGAGCGGGCTCCTGGCGTTTGGGAGACACGGCGGAGTAGGGATGACCCCGCTGATCTGGGCCCTTTGACTTCCAGAGAAGCACCGGGACCTGGCCAAGGCGGTTCTGCGGAGAAAAGGCATGCTGGGGGCCGCGCCGAACCTCCCCGACTCTTCAGGGAAAAGGTCTCAGCAGGCGCCACCTCCTCCGTGCAAGCGTTTTCAGAGTAGGCCCTAGTACTCAGGCTGGGAAACCGAGTACCCACGTTTAAAGCCGAGCTAGTCATTCCCCTGACGCCGGCCTGTCGGGTTCATGTTTAAAAATGAAAGAGGAACGACCTTTTCTTTCCTTTCCAGGATGTGATGTTGTCAAGGAAAGAGCTTTGCTATGAGTTTTGTCAGTTCGTAGGGTCAATCACTGTCTAAATTAGGGAGGAGCATGGTGGCTGGGATCCCCAGGAGTGAGGATGGAGAGCAGTGTGGGAACAGCTAGGACTGTGATTTTTCCTTAACAGAACGGTAAGCGCTGAGGGCTGGATCGGACCTTCACCAGGGCTTGAGCTAAAGCAGGTGAAGGAATTTGCCTAAGGACTTTGATTTTTCTGTTCTCAGGTTAAATAAGGTGGGGAGATGGGGCTTTTCCTGATTCTTAAAAGAGGCGGTGTGCTTATCCTCAGAAGCAGCAGGGGGAGCGGTGAGGGGAAGTACACATACTAAGGAGCTGTAGCCGGATACATGGCAGGCAGTGGTGGCTGTCCAGATAGAAGATAAGTCAGGAGTAGTGCAGTCAGTTGTTTTGTTTTGGTTTGTTTCCGCATAAGGGCAAGGACGCTGTCTTTCCCTGTGAAATGCTGGCGTTTCATCTATGCTTGGTCTCTCCCCTGTCTCCCCTCAGGTCAGTGAAGTTTAACAAGGGCTACACTGCTCTTAGTCAGAGTCCAGATGAAAACCTGGTGTCCCTTGACTCTGACAGGTAAGTGCTATCCTTGGAAATACCCCTTGGGGAGTGCCTTGGATAAAATTGCCAACAACTTGCTTCGCTTTTCCCCTGTCTCTTCCAAGACCTTTTGTGCATGTTCCAGGGCTGCTGCTTCAGAGCACTGTCTCTTCCGGGATGGCTTGCTTAGAGGACTCATAGGTGACCTTGCTGCTCTTGGATGTGAAGTACCAACCTTGTCATCCTGCCCTATTATGTCTGCGTTATTAGTGACAGTGACTCTGTCCCTGCTGGAGCCAAGAAGGAGCCATTGATACTCATGGCAGATTATGGGTTTGAGTTCTGTGGTGTGTGGTCTTTGCTTCACAAGTCCTCCAGACCCCCTTGCATGTTGTGCACCTTGCCACTTGTAGCTGTGCTCCGGAGGCATCTCCCTGAACTGACTATCTTCCTCTTGTCCTAGTGATGGAGAGCTGGAATCCAGATACTCCTCCGGGTATTCCTCTGCAGAGGCAAGTCAAGAGCACCTTTCTGTGGTGGGGCCAGGCTGCATAGCCACTGCCAAACACTTGTCTGGTTCCTGCTATATGCATGGCACTGTACCAGACTTCCCGTGTGTTCTCCAGTCTTCTACTCTACCCTATTCCCCTAGCAGAAGTTAAGGTGTCTGAAGTGGACTGTCAAAAGTCCAGGAGACTATGTGTGTGCTGCATGCTAAGTCACTTCAATCATGTCTGCCTCTTTGCGACCCTATGGATTATAGCCCACTGGGCTCCTCTGTCCATGGGATTCTCCAGGCAAGAATACTGCAATGGGTTGCCATGCCCTCCTCCAGGGGATCTTCCCGACCCAGGGATTGAATCAGAGTCTCTTATGTCTCCTGCATTGGCAGGCAGGTTCTTTACCACTAGTGTCACCGAGGAAGCCCCCATGAGACCCCAGACCTTTTTTTTTTTTGGCATATAGGATTTTCATTCCCCAACCAGGGATCAAACTCACACACCCTGCATTGGAAGTGTAGAGTCTTAACCACTGGACTGACCACCAGGGAAATCCCCAGAGACTCTTAGGGCTGGAAATGACCTCACAAGTCTTCTAATCCAGGCCACCATTTAGAAAATGAATCCTCTCGATAAATTCCAGCTAAATGCTTATTTGAATGCTGCTTGTAACTGGGTACTCACTACCTCCAAGAAACCTTGCTTCCTGTCTTCCCCTGCAACACACACAATTCAGATAGTTCATAGAGAGGTCTTCCTTGTTAATTGGAAAAGTCTCCTGCAGCTTGGACTTAGTGGTCTTAGTCCTGTCTCCAGTGACAGAGAATTCTACTCTGCCTTCTTTTGATCATCTTTTACCTGAGATCAGCATTCCTGTCCGTCCCCTTTCTATCCTCCAAGCTTGGTTACTTCCAGGCTGGACATATTCTGTTCTTTGCTTTGTTCCATCTGTGGGAACTGTGACTGAGAAAGATACTCCTGGGCTGGCCTTTTGGACATGTTTCCAAAGTGACTGTCCGGACTAAAACAGGGACAGAAGGTTCTGGCATCTGTGGCTTACTGCTTTTGACAGAGGTGAAGTGGTGGGGACCTGACTGTATACCACTGGTATTTCTTCCTCATGCTCCTGGAAACCCTTGGCCACCCCCTGCGTTTCTGCCAGAGAATACAGTTTGCAAATTGTATCCTCCTTGAATATTTAGGTGCCTAAGATTGTTAGAACAAAGAAAAGAAAAATAAGCCAAGAGCCAGAGAAGTCCTACACTCCCCAGTCTCATTTGCCTTCTGCTCAGTGGAACTGGTGAAGCCAGGCTGACAGGTTCTACTTTGCAAGGAATGAGCTCTGTTGCCATCAAAGAGTAACATTGGCAGTGCAGAAGAAGCTGTTCCCCACCCTATTCTACTCTAACCCATCTTCCTCCACCCTTCTACCCCATTGTGCTGGTACCATTGTTCCATACTCCTCAGCCTTCATAGGAACCAATCTGGATTCACAGTGGTAATGGTCAGGGCTTGACTTTCAGATATAATCCTGAATCTTATATTTGTATCACCTGCCTTGGAATTCTTTGGTGAGGGCAGCTTCCCTGGGGGCACATGACAGCGCAGCCTGGACAGTCCTGGCTCAGGTCCCTGGATGTCCCCCACCCCCTGTTGGGTGAGGCACAGGTAGGAAAAGGTAGCACTTCTTCCTGTAGTCCAGGGATGTGCAGGCCTGGCCTGAGGGTGGAGCACGGACAGGAGGGAAATGGACAGTGAGGAAATGTGGGTCTGCTTTTGGGGCAGCAGTTATTGTGGCCTTGCTTATAGTTCTCTCCTCTCCTGCTCTTAGCAGGTGAACCAGGATGTAAGCCGACAGCTGCTCCAGGACGGGTATCACTTGGATGAGATTCCAGATGATGAGGACTTGGACCTAATTCCCCCCAAGCCTATGACCTCAACGTGCTCCTGCTGCTGGTGCTGTCTTGGGGCCTCTTCGTCCTGTACCCTCCAGTAGACATAACCCTCTAGGACAGGTCCTGCTCACCATGCCTGCAGAGTCCTATTGGTCCTGCGTCAGTCACAGAGTGCGGTGGGAACCCACTGCTGTCAACCCCAGGATCACTGGAGACACTGACCCTCTGGGAAAGGCAGTGACCACAGTTACCCCAAACCTGGTGCTTCTCAAACCAGAGGCCCCCATCTGGGTCACAGGGTGACAGGTGGAGTTCTGCAGTTCTCCTCTGCTGCTGGAGTAGCATTTGGAGAAACCGCTTTAATAAGGGCAGGAACATAGGAATTCTGTTTCTTACGCTGAGTGACAAAATTGGCGAAGAGAGAAACTTACAGACATTTTGGTTGGTATTTGTCATGATGCTCTGTGGAGGGAAAATGGGAGCTTTTGTGCCCAGGCTGTGTTGGCTGGTGTTGCATGGAGGCAGAAAATAGCACTTTATGGCTTGCAGCTGGGAGTCTGTAAAAAAGAATTTAACTATCTGGGGCCAGTTCAGTTCAGGAAATTCAATATTCTTTTCTCTTCCAAGCTCCAAGATGGGTTATATGTTTGCCGGTTGTTCTTATATGACTGTGGCAGAGAGTACAACAGGTTGCTTGGTGGCACAGCCTGATCAAGGCTTCCAGAATCCTTGGAAGCTGAGCATTCCCAACTGGTCCACATGTCTGCATGAGCTTGGTAACTTGGTCATTCCACCCCTAGTTAGAGAAAAACTGCTCTACCGGGTAGACAAAATTTCTTTCCTTGGTTGCCATTCTTCGCCTTGGTCTTAGCTAGTATCTTTATCCAGTCTTTGATCTAAGGTTGAATGAAAGTTCTGGAGCTTGCCACAGAAGCCTGCCGTTTTTGGTTACCAGCAGAGGGAGCTATAGGAGCAGTTAGGTGCCTTCCCATTTGGATTTTTTTCGGTTTGTGAGATCTCAGTGCCCCAACCAGGGAGGGGTGGAACTCAGGCCCCTGAAGTGGAAGTTCAGAATCCTGACCACTGGACTACCAGGGAATTCCCTCATTTGTTTAACATTTTACACTTGAGGAGCAGCAATGGGTGAGATGTATAGTGCACAGCTGTGTGGGCCCTGACAGAGGCTGACAGGATGAGGAGGAGGGGCCTGTGAAAGCTCCCCAGCTATCCCCCCCACCCCAACCGAAGGAGATAATCTTGCCATTGCAGAGGGCCTCCCTCCACCCTAGTGAGAGCCATTGTGTTGCATCCAGATTCCTCTGACCACAGTGGATACTGAGGATTGGGCTTTACAGTCAGCCCCCAGTTTGAACATAGCAAGGACAGGCATAATCTCCCCTGTGACCCCTACTAGATTGCATCTCTTGCTGTACCAGGCCTCTCTGTGGAATTTTTCAGTGGTTCCTTTTTTTTTCTCCTTACCCAAAACCAGATGGAACTGAATGGGAGTGGATAGGGGTAGGGTAGTCAGGATTGAGGTGTGGTCCCGACTTGGGAACTTGCCCACCCTCTTGCTTCATTTCGTTGACAGAATGTTGACAGCTGCTGGGGGTGAGGATGGCAGTGGGCCCCCAATACCAAGGCCCTCCAGTGGCTGTTGTTATAAAGCCACACTGGTGTATTTGGCTACACCTCTCCCTGGAATGTTTCAGGGCTGGTTAACCATCTGTGGGAGGCATTACCTCTGCAGGAAAAGTTGCAGGAACGTCATATAGCAAGGCAGGGTACAAATGGTCAATTGCTTAGGGCTAAGAAGCCATGGGCTAGAAAGTCACCAATAAAAGCACCAAGGTGTCTAGAACCAAACTGCCTTAATAATAAGAGTACTGGGGTATTGTGCAGGTGACAGCACTCTGGGGAGACGGCTTACCTCACAGATGGGAGTGGTACTGTATGGCGTTTACAGAACTCTTGGCTTAGGCTTCTACAGCTTTGTAAGTTTGTAGAAATAAATACAGTCATCTGTTGAACTGTCTCTGTGTTGCAACAGGATTTTTAAGAAAAGCCTAGACCATGGTCATTGCCCCTTCTGAATTCTGAAATGAAGAAGTAGCCTAACAGCCCTAACTGTGACCATTCTGCCATGGGCCACCCCTCCTTTCTTCTGTTCCCAGTGGGTGCCATTTTCAGTCCTCATTGGAGACCATGGATGGAATCATTTAGTTACTAAGTCATATCTGTTTTGTGACCCCATGGACTGTGGCCTGCCAGGCTGCTCTGTCCATGGAATTTCCCAGGCAAGAAGACTGGAGTGGTTTGCCATTTCCTTCTCCAGTGGATCTTCCCAACCCAGGGATTGAACCCATGTCTCCTGCATTGGCAGGTGCATTCTTTATCACTGAGCCACCAGAAAAGCATGGACAGAATAGGCCTTTGCATATCACTTCTCTTTAGAATGAGTTCCCTTTGGCAGACCCTTCTCAGGTTTTTTTGTTTTTGGCTACCTGTCCCATAGATGCCTCTGCCTACCTCAGGGCGCTGTCTGAAACTGGAATAAAGCAAAAACTGGACAACATCCAGGGAGGGCTCCTTCAGCCCACTTCAGGGACTGGAATGGCAAAGGCTGAGTGCTCTTTAGTCCACAGACCTCAACACAAGTGATCTTTAATTGCTTTAACAGAGCAGCATCAGGCCACAGGGCTATCCTTTTCCCTCTACACTGCGGAACCCTATATTCTTACAGATTAATTACCTATCATGCCGTGACTGCTGCTGAGCTAATCCTAGATCTCACCAGTCTGCCTAATGCCATAGGCTGGGACAGGGCTGCTGTTCTCCTTGAGCTCTGAGAAGAGCCTGGCTCCAGTGTGGCGAGATCCAAGTGGGAGTATCAGCTCTCAGTCCTCACATGGGCCCCTCCTACCAGGAAGAAGAAGGCCGTTCAGCCTCTGCCTGCTCAGGAGTCACCACCTTCAAGCTCTTCTCCCTGAGTCTTTCAGGGTGTACCCGAAGAGCCCAGAGCAGGGAAGGGATCTGGGCTGGGTCTGCGGAGCTGAGGCTGGCCAGGATGTAGGATGACTGGCAGAGGAGAGCCAGGAAGGCTGTGGCCTCTATAGCAGGCAGCAGGCACGGAACATCAGCAGGTCCTTAGGCACAGTGAGCTTCAGTGAGACACTCTCATTGGCCCCAATGAAGAGCACCCCGCCACGTTTCAGGGGGATTGTTGCCTGGGCTGTGGGAGTGCTGGCTGTCACTGTCCCCTGCACCACCAGGAGGATGCTGGCAGAGTCCAGGGCCAAGACTTTGTATTCAGTGACAGAGCCAGGTACCTGGGCAGGAAGAAACAACACGATGGAGCAGGGTCTGAGCTGCTGTTAGCTCACAGGGTCCTGGACCACCCCGAGGACAGTGAGAGGGAGAGCTCTGCTTCTCCCTCTCCCAGTGCTCAGGCTTTCATCAGCACAGAGGCCCCTGTCTGGTCACTGTAACAGAGAGGCACAAGCAGGCCCTGTGGCAGCTGCCCCACCATGTGAGCTTGGCAGAAAGGAAACCCAGCCCCAGGTACACCCCACACTGTGGCCTTGCCAGGGTTGTGCTACATGCCACACAAGAAATACCACTGCCCTCACTCACCTCCATCTTCATAACGGTGAAGTCTGGCACAGGGGGATCGTAGATAGAGAGGTAGGGGTCTTCTGGGCTCCGTGCTGGAGGGAAGAGCCTGTCCTGGCTGGGGCTGGGGGTGTAGCTGAGCATTTCACACAGAGTTGGCACATCGATGAACTTGGGTGTCAGGCCAGCACGCACTGTGTTGTCTGAACATGCCATGCACTCCACGCAGTCTGGGGACAGACAGTTGGCATGTGCTAAGGGTGCCTTGGAGTTTGACTCTCCAGGGTTGGGCTTTCTAACCTGAGTGCCATGAGCTCCCAGCAGCATTACATGAAACTGTGTGAACAGCATCTTCTGTGAGAATGGGCTAAGATAACAGATACCAAAAACAGGTGATGTCACCCACCACTCTCAAGGGAAGTCATGTTAACCCCTGGGGGAGCTCCAACCCTCTGGAAACACTGTATTCACCCCTTCCACTAAAGAATCCTGTCCAAAAGTGGATAAACAGCCAACCCTCAGTGTGACAGCCTTCTGCGGCAATGTGTTTTTTAACATAAAATCTCTGTAGATGCGACAGACATGTGAAGGCACTGTGATGCAGGGGAGAGAACAATGGCCTTGATCCAATATAGGCTTGGATTCAAACTGTGGTTGGCACACATATTGACAAGGCTTAATGTGAGGGTGTCCTGAGCTCACAGGGGTGGTGTGAGGATCCAACCAGTGTTCAGCACCAAGCTGGCATTCATCACCCAACTGGTCACTTCCCTGCTGATCCCAGGAGCCCTGGGAGATCAGAGCTGGATGGAACTTTAAAGGCGATCTCCTCTACCACCACCTCCTGTTCTGTCCAGATGGAGAAACAAGGCCTGAGGGGGTGGGCTGTGGGGCTCACTGCTGAAATGCGGCTCACCTCCTTTCAGGTAGGCGTGGGGCACGTTGGCCTCCAGAAACATGGCCTCCCCTGGGTTCAGGGTAAGCAGATTCAGGAAGTAGATGGCAAAGCATCCGATATCACCCGGGTACTGCTGGTGCAGCTTCAGCAGGAGCTCCCCACAGATGTCCTCCATGTTGTTTCCAGCAGCCACTGAGGGTCACAGAGCACCCCAAGGCTACTCAGTAACCCTTGAGGGTATTCACAACTCCCCACTCCACCCCCTGGCCAGAGAGTCCTAGAGAAGACCCTAGTCCAGGAATCCAGGAACAGGTGGGCATGTTCTCCTAGTCACATCCCCCACCCTGTGGGGGCCAGCCTTCCTTGCTATTCCAGCCTACACAGATGCCATTTTCCCCATTTTGACTATTGAAATGCCCACCCCTCTACTGGGCACTAAAAGGGCTAGAGTGTAGTCCTTTTAGACAGTGCTTCTCAGCCTCAGCATTACTGACATTCGAGGCCAGGTAACTCTGTTGTGGGGGCTGTCCTATGTACTATAGGATGTCTAGTAGCATCCCTGGCCCCCACCTACGAAACACCACTAGCACCCCAAACCTGGGTTTGACAACCAAAGATGCCTCCACACTGCCAGTGCCCCCTGGTTGAGACGACTGCTCTGGAGCTTAAAATCTAGTTAGGAGAGGACCCAAGGGTCCCCGTGGGATGACCAACTGTCCCAGTTAGCCCAGGCCTTTCCCTTTAACACTGATAATCTCTCAGTCCCAGGCAAACAGTGGTGGTTGGTCACCCCAGAGAGCATGAGGCAGGATGCAACCAAGGGCCGAAATGTGTCACAGGCTGACCAGGGGAGAATGAGCTCAGCCTGAGCTAGAGTTGGGAGGGAAGCCTTGGTGGGCATTGCGGGGAGGAGGGGAGGGTGGTGATCTGGGTTTCCTTAGCTGTGAGTGTGGTGGGGGTGTCTCTAAAAGCAGAGTGGAGAAGGAGCTGGACCTCATGTGTGCCATATAAGCTCCTAGCAGAGTCCATTCTGCCTTGCTCTTTACTGCTTGTATTAACTCTCAAACCCAAAGTTGACACAACCACACCCATCAAAGTCATTTCCTGAACTCTAATTAGCACAAGGTTGGGCCCAGAGCAAGTATATGAGGAAAGACCTACTGACTGAGAGCTCAGGACCTCAGGTTTTTGGATCCTTTTATCTCCTTCCTGTTCTCCAGCCCCAAAGTATGAAACCCTTTGGACAGCAGGTCTAGGGCTGAGAAATCTCAGAATGCCCAGGTGACAGACATCCTAGTACTTTTCCAGGCCAGCCTGTCTCCACCCATCTAAAGGAGATAACCAGTTAGGAAGCAGCAGGGCCCTATTCCATAGAGACTGGGAAAGAAATGCTAAGTTGCTGACAGGCCATCTAAGTGAGAACCATTTTGGTGTTCCACTTGAGCAAAGGGGTTGAGAATCCAATTCCTACAGCCTAGTGACTGTGCTAGGGGCCCAGGAAGGGGCACTGCGTTCAGGCCTAAGACCCACCTTGCTGCGAGATCCGCTTCACCAACAGGTTCAGCTGCTCCACCACCACCTTCTTCTCGCTCTTCATCAGGTGGGAGAAACAGCTCCGCAGAGCAGAGGTCACAGCCTCGGGGTCCTGGCTCAGGCTCTGCTTCAGCTGTGCTGCTGCATTGTCTCCAATTAGAAACTGGAATTCTGGCACCTCTGCAGGAAGGTCAGGTCAGGAATGGTTAAGATGGAACCCACAAACGGTGGAAAGCTGAAGGAGGCCTCCCTGTCTCATCCCTAACCAAGGAGCCAGGCAATGCTATGTAAGTTTTGCAGTGAAAATTTACTGCTCTCGAAACACGTATATTATCTAGGGTGAAACAGTTCACCAGCCCAGGTTGGGTGCATGAGACAAGTGCTCGGGCCTGGTGCACTGGGAAGACCCAGAGGGATTGGGTGGAGAGGGAGGTGGGAGGGGGGACCGGGATGGGGAATACATGTAAAAAAAAAAAAAAAAAAGATACACTATGGTTGTGAAAAAAAAATAAATAAATAAAATGTATGATTTACTAAAAAAAAAAAAAAAGAAAATTTACTGCTCATGACCAGCCCTCAGCAACCACACCTGAGCCTGGTCTCACGAGCCTCCCCCAGGAACATCAAGAATTCATGAGGCCATGGGACTTCCCTGGTGGTCCAGTGGTTAAGAATCTGCCTTGCAATGCAGAGGATGCGGGTCCAGTACCTGGTTGGGGAACCAAGATTCCACATACCACAGAGCAGTTAAGCCTGAGCACTGCAACTACTGAGCCTGAGCACCCTGGAGCCTGTATGCCACAGACTAGAGCGTCCGCGCAACGTAATGAAAGCTTCCGCTTGAAGCAGTGATGATCCCGCCTGCCACAATAAAGACCTGATGTAGCCAAATACATATATAAATCATTTTTTAAAAATTCTTGAGGCCAACCAGCCCTTCAGTTCCTGGGACACTCAGCCTCTGTCCTCAGCCTCCAGCTCTGCCCCGGGTTGCCCTTGCATCCTAGGTCCAGTATGCAGGCTCTTAGCATTTTGCTCAACCTTACTTGTTAGAAAGGTCACAATTTCCTCAACTGGCCGGAAGCCGCATAAGCCCTGGAAGGGGGTGAGAGCAATTGCCATCTCTGGCTTATGGTTGGCATCAGGGTAGTGCTGTGGAGCCTGGAGGTGCAGCTTCTCTGCCAGCTCCTGTGGGATGGGCAAGGGAGAGGAGGATGGTTAGGTGCAGCCATCACCCAACAAGACACCAGTCCCCACCAGCCCTTATTCTTGACCCTCCCCAGTCAGCTTCCTGCCTCTGGCACTGAGTCCAGTCAAGGCATAATTCAGAAACTCATGGTTCAGCCAACCCAAGGCAGGCACATGGATCAACTCTGGGGGAGGGCTGGGGCAGACTTCAAGAGGACTACAAACCAGAAGACCCAAATACCAAGCCAAGCTCTGACACTAACAAGCTGTGTAACTTTGGGTAGACCTCTCTCTTCTCTGGGTCTTCTTTGCTCATGAAGTTTGGACAGACAAATGCTTAAGCTACGACTCACACACAGGCTTGTGCAGAAAGACCACAGGGGTGGAATTAAGGCCATGACTAGGGTAACTGCTGTGCCTTGGAAGGTGAGCTCTGAGAGTCAAGTGGATAAAGGGCAGATATGCATTGGCTGGGTTGGGGTTTGCTGAGGGGAGCCAGGCAGAAGCTTGGAGAAGCTGCCGTGGCACAGGCTGGTCAGCTGTCCACTTAGACTTAGTTGCCACATGTGTCACTGGCAATAGGCCTTGCAGAGCTAAACTAGGAGTTGTCAGGCTTGGATTTAATTCTGGGCTGGAGCCTGGCACGGGCAGGGTAAAAGCAGAAGTAAAAGTTGTCCAAGAGTCTTGACTCTTAAGCTCTTCTCTAGCCTGACCTCTGTGCCCTACTCTGATGCTATACCTTGTTAGGGTGTGCCTGGATGGACAGGGCCGTTTCAACTGAAAGCACTTTGAAGAGGAAGGGCAGCTTGCCATTAAAGGTGTCCTTGACCTTCGAACCCAAGCTGTCCTGATTATCAGCAATCCACTGGCCTAGGGTCTTCTGCGAGATGCGGTTGTCAAGGATCTTGGCATCTCCCCGGGGGTGGGACCCCATCCACAGCTGTAAAAATAGAAAACTTGGGAGGGACAAAGGCAGAACCTGGCACCACCCATTGGCCTGCCCTGCTCCGTTACCCTGTGCTCCCCATAGGGCAGCCAAGTCCTGAGACAGGCCTCTTAGGACTGGGTATAAATGTTCATACCATCACAGACATACTGGGGGCAGCAGACCACAGAATATCAGGAGTCAGGAGACCCAAGCTCTAGCTGAGGCTCTGCCTCCAACCAGCTGCGGAAGCTTGGGCTAGTTTTAATTTCTTGTCTCTGGGTCTCAGCTTTCTCATCTGTCCAATGAGGAGAACGAAACCTACACTGTCAAGGTCACTGAAAAGCTCTAACTCTCAAATGGCTCTGTGAGGTGTTAACATTCATTTATTCCAATTTCAGAAGTAGAAGCTAATGCTTTCCTGTGTTTTGGCTTTTCTGTTACTAAATGGGCAGGATAACTATGTATTTTAGGTTATTAAAAAAGGCAGTCAGTCAAAGTAAAAATTATAATTGTCAAGGAGGGCTGAATTAAAATTCAGTAAGTGCTAAAAATAGAAAATAAAATAAGAAGCAGCAAGGTCATACTGTATAGCACGTGTGTGTGTGTGTGTGTGTGTGCGCGCGCACGCTAAATCGCTTCAGTCATGTCAGACTCTTTGTGACCCTATCGACTGTAGCCCACCAGGCTCCTCTGTCCATGTGATTCTTCAGGCAAGAACACTGGAATGGGTTGCCATGCCCTCCTCCAGGGGGTCTTACCGACCCAGGGATTGAACCCACATCTCTTATGTCTCCTGCATTGGCAGGCAGGCTGTTTACCACTGGCACCATCTGGGAAGCCCCTCTGTATAGCACAGGAAACTATATTTAATATTCTGTGACAAATCATAATGGAAAAGAATATGGGTCAGAAAGATCCCCTAGAGGAGGAAATGGCAACCCACTCCAGTATTCTTGCCTGGAGAATCCCACAGACAGAGGAGCCTAGCAGGCTACAGTTCATAGGGTTGCAGAGTCAGACATGTCTGAAGTCAGACATGTGTTAAGTCAGACATGACTTAACACACACATGTGTTAAGTCAGACATGACTTAACACACACACACATATACACACATAACTGAGTCACTCTGCTGTACAGAAGAAATTAACACAACATTGTAAATCAACTATACTCCAATAAAATATACTTCAATAAAATAAAATTCAGTGACAAAAACCTCACTTCTTTTTATGCTGCCATCTGGGTTCATCAACCTGCACAGATCTGAAGCCCTAAGAAGGCCTCTTCTCCCTTTGTTGTCTCCCTTCCCCTCAGATTCACATGACTTGCCTCAGCCCCTTTGACAGAGGAGTCCCTTCCTCCCACCTGCTGGTCAAGTAGGCTGAAATACAGCCGGGGTCTCACCTCTGCATATGGTTTGTCTTCTGAGATCTGGGCCAGTGGGTCACTGCTGGCCAGCAGCCGGGCCACTTCACTGTTGGAACCCATCTTTCCCCAGGCATATTGCTGCACCACACAGGAAAGTGGGAATACTGGGGGGTACAGACAGAGCGTTAGCTTCCACTCCACTCCTGAGGCCTGACCCTCCTGTCCCGGGGGAACCAGACCTGAGCTGAGGGTTTTATATGGGGGATAGAGTCAAATAAGGGGTTTGTAGGTTGTGAGTTGACACCCTTCTCTTCTGCATGCCTCGATGTTCCCGTCTGTAAGACGGGTAGTAAGGATCTCCTGCTGACCTGAGGCAGATAACTGCGTTACGGTGACGCGAAGGGCGTGGGAGGAACCTATTCCACTGCACCCAGTCTAGAAGTAACCCAAGCGCAACCGTCTCCCCTCAAAACCCCCTTTTGAGGGCTGCAATAAGGACTCAATTTCCATCACAGGTGCCTCCTCCTCTGCCCGGCGCCCATTCATCTTTCCGCAGAGCCCTAAGCGGGTGGGGAGGAGTTCGACCTGCCGTATTAGGTCAGGAAGGGTCGTACGCAATCCATCCGCACTCTCAGTGGCACCCCAGTCAACAGCCCACCTCGCTGAGCGGCCATCCTCAAGGCCTCGGACCGGTCTTCTCGCACGTATGTCTTTCCCGGCAGTACTCTCGGCCTCTCTGCGCCCAGAGCTTCATGGGAAATGTAGTTCTTCCCTCGCCTTCTCGGACGTCTGAGTGCCAGGTGTGGCCACTGCTGGCAGGCTGAATCCCTCTCCCACACTCCCACTCGCAGAAGGAACCCCCACCAGTACAGAGCCTTCCAGCCGGCAATCTGAGGTCTCAGCATTTTTTCTTTTTTGCTCGTTCCTTCACCGGACACATATTTATTGTTGTTCTTTTTCAGTCTCTTAAGTTCTATCAGACTCTTTGCAACCGCGTGAACTGCAGGACTCCAGGCCTCCTCATACATCACCAACTCCCAGAGCCTACTCAGACTCATGTCCATTGTGTCAGTGATGCCATCCAACCATCTCATCCTCTTTCGCCCTCCACTTCTGCCCTCAATCTTTCCCAGCATCAGTGTCTTTCAAGTGAGTCAGCTCTTGGCATCAGGTGGCCAAAGTATTGAAATTTCACCTTCAGCATCAGTCCTTCCAATGAATATTCAGAGTTGATTTCCTTTTGGATTAACTGATTTGATCTGATTGCTGTCCCAGGGACTCTCGAGTCTTCTCCAAAACCACAGTTCAAAAGCATCAATTAAAAAAAAAAAAAGCATCAATTCTTTGGTGCTCAGCCTTCTTTATGGTCCAACTCTCACATGCGTACATGACTACTGGAAAAAGCATAGCTTTGACCATAGGGACTTTTTTTGGTGAAGTGATGCTCTGCTTTTTAAAATGCTGTCTAGGTTTGTCATTGCTTTTCTTCCAAGAAGCAAGTGTCTTTTAACTTTATGGCTGCAGTCACCACCTGCAGTGATTTTGGAGCCCAAGAAAATAAAATCTGCCACTGTTTCCACTTTCCCCCTGTCTATTTGCCATGAAGTGATGGACACTTGGAGTGGCTTCACAGAAATCATGGTGGAGAGAAAGGCAGGAACAAAGTAGTGACCAGTGCCCTAGGTTCCTTACCTGGGGGGCAGGAGGCTGCAGTGCCCTGCTCAGGGCAGTTGGACTTGCCAGGCCTGGACAATAGCATATTTATTGAGAACCTGATAAATGCCACAGGCTGTTCTGAGGGCTAGAGACACATGGAAGAGCAAGATAAGAACTATTTTGTCTTTATAGAGCTTACATTCTGGTGAAGGGAAGACAGCAAACAAGTATGATAAAGAAGTAAATCACATAGCAAGTTGAAAAGTCAGTGCTACAAAAAGTAAGTGGTGTAGGTGGAGGCGGAAGGCAGCCAGTAGAATTTAAAAGGTTGCCTAGGCAAGCCTCACTGAGGTGAGAATTGACTGTGGACTTGGAAGTGAGGAGGAGAGAATGATCTGAGCAGAAGATACAGCTATAGCAAAGGCCCTAAGGTGGGAATGTGGAAATGTGCCTGCCATTTTCGGAGTAAGTAGCAAAGAGGCCAGACTGGCTGGAGCGGAGTGAGCAGGAAAGGTGGAAGTGTGGTGGTGAGAGAGGAAAGGCAGTGGGCAGTACTTTGTAGACTATTGTGAGGATGTCAGGTTTTCATTAGCAGATTTGAGCAAAGCAGGAACTCACTGATGTTTGATGATGATGGTGAATGTCACATACAAGGCCCTTAATCTGTCTGAGCTTCAGTTTCTTCGTGTGTAAAATGGGAATAATAATGCTGGACTGAAAGCCTTGTTGGAGGGTTGGATAGGATGATATGATTCCGGAAGGCAGTCAGTGCTGCGGCTCCTCTGATTCTCTCCACCCTAAGTACTGCAGGACTTGAATCCTAGCTCCTCCTCCAGGCTGAGTTGCTCACAAGCCACATACACAGAAGTCAAGGGAAGTCACCAGGAGCCCTACATGGCAAAGGCTGGGCTGGACCTTGGCTGTGGAGTAATCTTGCTGTGTCCTGTAGAGAAAGGCTCTAACATGCAGACCTCCTCAGTCAACAGTCCAGGAAGAGGGCATCCCAGGAACAGAGCAACTAAAGCACCAGGGGACCTGGAGTGAGGGCCTGGAATCCTGACTCTGCCTTCTCTTCCCCCTGCCACCCAATCCCACTGATTCCCAAGGCCTCTACCTTACATGTCCAGGGGAAAGAGAGGCCACTGTTTTCTCTGCAATGTCCTGCTTAGCTATTGATAACGATCTCCCTAAGAGTCCCCTGGCTCAGATAAATCTGCCTGCATTTCAAAGAAAGCTTCACCATACACTAAGGAATAATAAAATGAACCATACAAGCAGCACATCTCAACTACCTCCTAACTTTGAATACCTCTCTTCCTTTCATTCCCACTCGCCCAGCCAAATGAACCTTCTCGGGGAAGAATGAGGGATTAGTCTGGGCACAGGGGCTTCTTGGAGCACCTCCCACTACCACCATCACTGAAGTAAAGTTAGAGTTCCTTCCTCACAGTATTTTTCACAGGGAAGGGAGAACTTAGATTGTTGGGACAGGGCACCTACCTCACCCCACCCTCCCCACATACAGAAAAATATATCTAGAAGGGAAACTAGGGTGTCTGGAGAACCTAGAACCTTTCACCCTTAACTCTTGCTTGTCTAGATCTAATAGAACTGATCACATTTTATTATCTAGTGATAATCTGCTTTCTTCTCTCTCCTTTTAGACTATATGTCTAATTCAGCTTCACATTTCTGCCAGTGCTCGCTGACATTCAAGCAGTAGTAGCAGATAACATTTGTTTGTTATGTACTGAATACAAAGAGCTTCCCAGGTGGTGCTAGTGGTAAAGAACCTGCCTGCCAATGCAGGAGACGTAAGAGATGTGGGTTGAGAAGATCCCTGGGTTAACATCCCCTGAAGGAGGGCATGTCAACCCACTCCAGTATTCTTGCTTGGAAAATCCCATGGACAGAGGAGCCTGGCAGGTTATAGTCTGTAGGGTCACAAAGAATCAGACACAACTGAATCAACTTAGCACACACGCACAACTACTAAGCTAAACCTTTTCAAGAATTCTCAAAGATAGCCCTATGAGATAGTGAAAGTCGCTCAATTGTGTCAGACTCTTTGCGATCCCATGGACTATACAGTCTATGGAATTCTCCAAGCCAGAATACTGAAGTGGGTAGCCTTTCCCTTCTCCACAGGATCTTCCCAATCCAGGGATCGAACCCAGGTCTCCCGCATTGCAGGCAGATTCTTTACCAGCTGAGCCACAAGGGAAGCAACACTATGAGATAGGTACTGTCAATAGCCCCATTTTTTGAGATAAGAATGGGTGTCCAAAAGGTAACAGGTTCAAGAGCATAGAGTTCCAATCTGCTATACCTCCTCCCTTGTCAAATAAGTCAATGGGTGAATAAATGCTTGATGTCTCTTCCACAGGGAAGCGTACAGAACCCAGTGGTCTTCAGGGATAAATGGGTGGACAAGGTTCACATTGGTGATACATTGAATAGAATTCCATTTGTTCTTCAACAGTCCAGCAATGTCCTAGGCTGGGCAAACAAGGTGGTGGCAGGACAGCCCCATGTTGTGTGGACTGCTCTCCTCTCAGGCTGCAGATGGCAAAGATCTCTGCATGCTGCCTGTCATACTGTGATAGAATCATTGCCTCCTGGCCAGAGCTCCTAAAATCTTGTAATATCCTAAGTAGTGAGACTACTCAGAACATCTTTTGTTCTAATATTTGATCTTTCGCCCTGGTTCCTGACACAGAACCCCTAAATCCCTTGGAATTTCCTGAGTGATGGGAGCATCTTTTGTCCTAATGAGGCAACTGTTGGGGGACTTCTGGATAACATTGGGATGGGGGCTGGTCACTGGAAAGACAAAGCCACAATTAGAAGCTTTGAATCTTCAGCCACATCTCCTATCTTATAGTGAGAGGAGAAATTGAATTAAGTGTTGATCATGCCTGCATGATGACACCTTCCTGAACTGAACTTCCCTAGTGATCCAGGGTAAAGAATCTGCCTGCCAGTGTAGGGGACAAGGGTTCGATCCCTGATCCGGAAGGATTCCACATGCTGAGGCACAGCTAAGCCCATGTTCCGCAACAAGAGAAGCCAGAGAAGCCTGCGTACCACAAAGAAGGGTAGCCCCCACTTGCCCGAGTGCAGCAACAAAGACTCAGTGCGGCCAGAATAAATAAATAAAAATTTTAAGTCATTTTTTTTAAATCCTGAACTGCTAGTTTAGAGAGCTTCAGTGTTGGTGAATACATTGCCTTGTCAGAAGGGTGACAAACCCTAGCTTTACAAGAACAGAAGCTCCTGCACTCAGAGCCCAGACCTTGTCTTATGTATCTCTTCAACTAGGCATTCATCTGTATCCTTTATCACCTTCTTTACTATGTATTAGGTTGATGCAAATATAATTTCAGTTTCAGACTGTGAACTTCATTTTTTTTCTTTTTTTTTTTTTTTCAGACTGAGAACTTTAAATCACATTGTTGTTCAGTCACTAAGTCATGTCTGACTCTTTGCAATCCCATGGACTTCAGCATGCTAGGCTTCCCTGTCCATCACCAACTCCCGGAGTTTGCTCAAACTCACGTCCATCAAGTCGATGATGCCATCCAACCATCTCATCCTCTGTTGTCCCCTTCTCCTCCTGCCTTCAATCTTTCCCAGCATCAGGGTCTTTGCTAATGAGTCAGTTCTTCGCATCAGGTGGCCAGAGTATTGGAGTTTTAGCTTCAGCATCAGTCCTTCCAATGAATATTCAGGACTGATTTCCTTTAGGATGGACTGGTTGGATCTCCTTGCAGTCCAAGGGACTCTCAAGAGTCTTCTCCAACACCACAGTTCAAAAGCATCAATTCTTTGGCACTCAGCTTTCTTTATAGTCCAACTCTCACATCCATACATGACTACTGGAAAAACCATAGCTTTGACTAGACGGACCTTTGTTGGCAAACTAATGTCTCTGCTTTTTAATATGCTGTCTATGTTGGCCATAGCTTTCTTCCAAGGAGCAAGTGTCTTTTAATTTCATGGCTGCAGTCACCATCTGCAGTGATTTTGCAGCCCAAGAAAATAAAGTCTGTTACTGTTTTCATTGTTTCTCTGTCTATTTGCCATGGGGTGATGGGACTGGATGCCATGATCTTTGTTTTTTGAATGTTGAGTTTTAAGCCAGCTTTTTCACTCTCCTCTTTCACTTTCATCAAGAGGCTCTTTAGTTCTTCTTCACTTTCTGCCATAAGGGTGGTGTCATATGTCTATTTGAGATTATTGATATTTCTCTTGGTAATCTTGATTCCAGCTTGTGCTTCATCCAGCCTGGCATCTTGCATGACGTACTCTGCATGTAAGTTAAATAAACAGGGTGACAATATACAGCCTTGACGTACTCCTTTTCCAGTTTGGAACCAGTTTGTTTACTGCAGCATAAAAATCCATGCCTTGGGATTTGATGAACACTTGGAAAGCATTTTCTGCCTCCTGCTGTTTGTGGAAGCATTTTCCCCTGCAAAAAGTTGTTGAGATGCTTGAAGTGGTAGTCAGTTGGCAAGAGGTCAGGTGAATATGCCAGATGAGGCAAAACTTTGTTGCCCAATTTATTCAACTTTTGAAGCATTGGTTGTGGGACATGCAGTTGTGTGTTGTCCTGGAGAAGAATTGGCCCCTTTCTGTTGACCAATGCCAGCTGCAGGCATTGCACCCTTGGTGCATCTCATTGATTTGCTGAGCTTGCTTCTCAGATGTAATGTTTTTGCCAGGATTCAGAAAGTTGTAGTGGATCAGATTGGCAGCAGACCACTAATCAGTGACCATAACCTGTCTTTGGTGCAAATTTGACTTTGGGAAATGCTTTGGAGCTTCTTCTTGGCCCAACCACTGAGTTGGTTGCTGCCAATTGTCCTATAAAATCCACTTTTCATCATGTCACTATACAGTCGAGAAATGGTTTGTTGTTGTTACATAGAATGAGAGAAGACAACACCTCAAAATGATGATGTTTTTGATTTGTGGTCAGCTCATGAGACACCCAGTTATTGAGTTTTTTCACCATTCCAATTTGCTTCAAATGCCAAATGACTAGAGAATGGTCAACACCGAGTTCTTCAGCAACTTCTCATGTAGTTGGATGAGCTTTGATAATTGCTTTCAATTGGTTGTTGTCAACTTCCAATGGCCTCCCACTATTTTCCTCATCTTCAAGGCTCTTGTCTCCTAGGCAAAACTTCTTGAACCATCACTGCACTGTACATTGATTAGCAGTTTCTGGGCCAGATGCATTGTTGATGTTGTGAGTTTTAACTGCTGCTTTACAACCCATTTTGAACTCAAATCAGAAAATCACTTGAATATGCTTTTTGTCTAACATCATTTCCCTAGTCTAAAATAATAATACATAGCAAGTAATGTCATTAGCAAAAAAAACCAAAAAACAAAAACAAAAAACTAACACACACACAAACATTAAGTGAGAAAAGCACATTAAAATGATGTAACATAGCACATTTATTTATTTAAGAATGTATTTCAATATCAAACGGCAAAGTTCAACACTGCAAAACGGCAATTACTTTTGCACCAACCTAATGATAAGCCAGTAAATGTGTTTCTCTGAATTCTAGAAGCCATTCTCAGTTCAGTTCAGTTCAGTTCCATTGCTCAGTCGTGTCCGACTCTTTGCGACCCCATGAATCACATCATCCCAGGCCTCCCCGTCCATCACTAACTCCCGGAGCTTACTCAGATTCATGTCCATCAAGTTGGTGATGCCATCCAGCCATCTCATCCTCTGTTGCCCCCTTCTCCTCCTACCCCTAATCCCTCCCAACATCAGGGTCTTTTCCAATGAGTCAACTCTTCGCATGAGGTGGCCAAAGTATTGGAGTTTTAGCTTCAGCATCAGTCCTTCTAGCAAATTATTAAAAGTAAGGAGGGGGGTGATGGGGACCTTGATTTACAGAAGTACAAGTGATGACACCCTGGGATTTGAAATTGGTCTCTGAAGTGGGGGCAGTCTTGTGGGACTGAGTGCTTACTTAAGCTGTGGGATCTGATGCTAAATCCAGGTAGTGTCAGAACTGAATTGAATGACACCCAACTGGTGTCAGAAAATTGATTAGTGTGGGGGAAAAAAAAAACCCTGTATGTCTGATCACAGAAATGTTTTGTGTCACTAGTAAAGATGAAATACAAGTGTGCTTACACTGTGATCCGAGAGGTAGCCATGGGGGGTTAGGGGTATGAAGTTTCTAAGGGCACACAAACATAAATCCCTCATGTTCTTCCACTTAAGGATGTTTCCTGAAGAAAAAAAAAGTTGAGCTGGACCATCAGAAAAGTGGATGAGGTAAATAGTAAATATTTAATAATTATATACCAAGCAGTATCTGCTTGGTACTATGTTAATGCCAGAAATACAACAGTGAGCAAAACAGATGGTATTCCTGCCCTTGTGGAGATTACAGTCTAGTGGGAGAAACAGACATAAATAACCATCTTTACATGTGTGTAATTATAATCTGCAATAGGTATTACAAAGGAAAGGCACAGGGTTTGTGTTGTGGGGGAGGGGCTGATATAATCTATAATGAAGAGTGGCTACTCCTGAGGAAGAGATCCATAAGCCTGGATTTGAAGAATAAGTAGGAGTTAAATAGGGCATGTAGGAGTTAAATAGGGCATGATGAGGGCATGGGCTAAGAGCATACCAAGAAGAGGGAGAGTCCAGTGCAAAGGTCCTGGGGCAGGCAAAGGAACAAATAAGTTTGAGGACCTGAAAAGCAACTCGGAGGGTTGGGATGCTCAGGGGTGGAGTGTAATGGAGGGGAAGGCATAAGAAGGAATGGGAAGGATTGATAGGTGAAGGGCAGATATTACAGGTCTTAGAGGTCAAACTAAGAATATGGACCTTTATGGAAAATAACTGAAAGATTTTAAACAGAAAGTTCCATAGTAATTTTGCCCCGTTTTAAATGGATCTCTGGTTACAACATGAACAACAAAAAACCAATTAGCAGCCCCCGTACTAGTCCAGGGTAAGGTATGGAGGAGTGCCAGGACTCAGGTACAGCAGAAATGTACAAAGACATGAATAAATAACCTGAGTTTGTGGGGAATGAGTCAGCCATCTCCCATATACTGATGGCTCTATTGCTGAACTCCCTCATTCATTTAATAAATGCTGGATGCCCAGGTTAATCCCAGCTCAGGCCCTACACCTGTCTGAGCTCAGGGATCCTCACGCCTGAGACGATAAACCTTGACATCGGGGGTCAAGGCCTAAGAGAGGCAGGGCTCAGCTAGTATGGGGGACAGCTGCACAGTCCATTCTTCCGAAAAGATCCTCTCTGCTCGGCCCCTACCAACAGAACACTTTCCTAGCTTGGCGAAGCCCTCTGAGTCAGGAATTCCACTCCCCACTCCCCCTGTTGGCTGGACCTTCAGTCCCCTGCCCGAACCAGGGCGTATTTCTCAAACTTGCCCTCCAAGAAAGCTGAAGGGGTTGTTTCCAGCCCCACTTTTGGGAGTTTACTTTGAGGAGTTTCCAACACAGTGTTGTAACCTATCTGACCGAGAGGCAGTTGGGAACGGCTGCAGCCCTTCCTCCGTCTCCCAAGTTCCTCGGTGCCTCCCGGACCATTGGAGCACAGACACAGGGAATAAGCGGACGGAAGCGAATGTCCACCAGGCTCCACAGTGGGTTGGGCAGGAGGGCGGAGCGGACTTCTGTGATGTCACATAACCACGCCCCTCTGGGAGGACGTTGCGCCTGCGCCAGAACGGCTGCCTCGCTCCCGGAAGTGGAGGGTCTGCACGGAGAGCGCTGTTGGGTCTGGGTGCCCGTAGGCAGAAGCGCTCCCGGAGCTCGCTCGTCGGCCCCCGACCGCCATGTCGTCCTTCGACACCAACCCCTTCGCAGACCCAGTGGACGTCAACCCCTTCCAGGTAGAGCCCTCATCTTACAGCTCAGTCCAGTACCCAAAGGCCGCCGCCCGGGCCTCTTTCGCCAGAGCCGGGAGACGTGGCGTAGGAGGGACGGGCTGTCTGCCCAATGGGAGAGCGGGCTTCGAGGGTTGTCCTATCGTAGCGCCTGGGGGCGGGACTAGCAACAGGTGGAACAGCGGAGGGGGCGGGGCGCTGTACTGGGAAAGGTGGGACTGCCTAGCTGCCAGGAACGTAGCCCTTCTAACTGGATACCGCTGGGGAAGGGGACTGGCGCAGACAGGATCAGGGAAGCCCCCAGTTTCAGGGACAGAAGCGACTTCACCTGAGGGGAAAGTGTGACTACCACATCCCGCAGTCTTGGGGAGACGCTAGTCTTGGGTCACTTTAGGAGAGAGGATGACAGCAACATAATGAGGAGGTGGAAGCCTCTAGAGGGATGTACAAACGTGAGAAAATCCCAAGACCATCCCCCGCAACACACACACAGCCAACCAACTAGTCTGTAAGGTATAGGAGAGCCCCTGAGATTTGTCAGAAAGGGAAGGCTGGTAACCCAAGTTGAAGTATGGCCTTGATAGCAATTTCACACCTTGGCCATGGATCTAGTTTGGACTGGGCTCTGGCTAGATGAGAGAGCCCAGGGTAGAGAGGGAGGAGAAGTGAGGAGCCTCTGAGGGACTTGAAGTGCACGGAATGTTGGTCTGATGGACCTGTGTGTGGTGGCAGGGTAGATGAGATGCACCGATCTATGAGCTGGCCTGACCTTTTAACAATTGCCCAAGGAAGAAGAGTCTTCCTATCAAAAGCCAAGACCTTCCCGCCTTTGAGCTAAGAGCATAGGGGTATTCTTTTCCGTGATGGAGGGTTGGGACTCCTTTAACTCCAAAGCTCTGGTGCCTCATGTTTTGTGTCTGCTCAAAACCAGTTCTAGGGAAGCTTGCTTGTGCTGACTAGTGATTTATGAGCCCCGAGCTTTCTGCTTTGTCAGGATGTCACCAGGCATGTGAACTCTTCCTGCTTGTTCTTTATTTTGGTCATTGGCAACTTTAAAGTTTCCTGCAGGTGTAGGGGAAGTCCTTGGAGGGGGTCCTTCCTGCAAGACACAGCATGAGCTTTTCCACCTTGAATCCTTTCTTTCAAGGGTCAGAATAAACACAAAGGAGACTAGAATGAATGTTGGAGAGTGAATATTTTGCTGGAGAATCCCATGGACAGAGGAGCCTGGTGGGCTACAGTCCATGGGGTTGCAAAGAGTCGGACAGGATTGAGCGACTTCATTTTCACTTTCACTTCTTGATTTTAAGGTGACTTAGCCAGTGGGAGCCCTTGAGGCAAATTTTGATATCTTGGTAACATCAGGGAATTCCTAACATTCCTCTAGTAGCTTCATGCTTCTTGACAGAACTGTTTGGGGGACCTTATCTTTTATGTAATGCAGTAATCTATATTTGAGTAAAGAAAGAACATTTGCATTTTTTTTCTGTGCCATTGTCTTCAGATAACTATTTTGCTTTAGTTATAAAACTGCTGTATGATACTGGAGTTTGAGTTTTAGTGAGGCTCTATAAGCCTTTTGGTATGTGTGCTGTGTAATGATGTGCCTTTTTCTTTCTTTTTTGTACTGTCAGAATCAGAAATCAAATGTCTGCTGCTATCTGAAAGAGGCAGTCAGATGTCCAGAGATGCAGAGAGCTTGTCCTCAGTGCTAGCAGTGGGCTAGATAATTGGCCTAAATTTTGCCCTGTATTAATAGCAGCTTGAAAGTCTTAAACCACATCTCCAACCCCAGAAATGATTGTGCAAACTGTGGTAGAAGTAACTTCTGCATTGAAGCAAGATAGTCTGTCCATCGGGCAGCCTCAGGATATGGCAGGACAGGAAGCAGCTGTGGTCCTGTAAAGAGTAACATCTGGTAGGGAAGCCTGTGGGGGAAGGCGAGAGCCGGTTGGCTGCGATTCTGCTCCTCCTGACTCTGGGCTGGGTTTTTCCTCTTGGCGCACAGCTGTGGAAGGAGAGGAGCTTTGGGTGTGAGGCCCCCAAACTTCTTTTCCTGGAGAGCTGCCCTCCCTCTCCTTGTGGTGGTGGTTTCTGCTTTTCTGACTGCCAGGGCTGGGACACTGGGAAGGCACAGCCCTTGGGGGCTGGGTGTGAGCCCAGCTTCATTTACTTAGGGTGTTGGCACAGAGCTCAGAAGAGAGAAGGTGGAGAGGCTGTAGACTCAGAAACTGTCACACCTAACCGGCCTTCAGAACTCTTTTTTTTCCCCTTTCTCTCCTGTGGTGGTTTATGAAAATATACTTTGTGTTCGGAGTTCCATGGTGGATTTTTAGAGCTGGGAACATCCTCAGAAATCTCTTCTAACCGTTTCGGTTTAGAGATGAGAAACTAAGAATGCAGTGAGGATGAGACATGCCAGAGTCACTAGCTAATTAAAGCAGGAAGAGACTCAGATCTCGGCCTTCTTCTCTGGATAGTGCTGTCCTAAAGATTTTAAACTACCTTGGCGGTTACTTAGGCCAGCTAAGGAAAGAGTGTAACATCATCACCACTGTTACCATTCTTAAAATGAGAGTACTGTTAAGAGTGAAAGTAACAGGTGAACTTTTTTTGTTGTTTTTCAGTGTGTGGGGGTGGAATAATATGGATTGTATTGTGCTTTTTTTTTTTTTAAGATTTATTTATTTTTGGTTGCGCTGGGTCTTTATTGCTGTGCGTCGGCTACTCTTTGTGGCAGTGCGTGGGCTTTTCATTGTGGTGGCTTCTCTTGTTGAGGAGCACAGATTCTAGAGCACAGACTCAATAGTTGCTCGACACATGGGCCTGGTTGCCTCGTGGCATGTGGTATCTTCCAGATCCAGGGATTGAATCCTTGTCCTCTGCACGGGCAGGTGGGCTCTTCCCCACTGAGCTACCAGGAAATCTCCTGTATTGCGCTAGATGCTATTTTAATATAGCATGTTTTCTGAGTAATGCCAGTCCTGAAAGGTGCTCAGGGTTCTGTAGTCAAATAAAGTCAGGAATCATTTTCTTGAAGGTTGACCAGGCTGTTCGTTTGTTAAAGTCTCCAAGAAATCCTGCAGTAAAGATATTTGCTCAACTTTGTTTGATCCAGCCTTTCTCAGAGTTTTGCAACCATGGAATCCTTCTTCTTCTGACTCTTGCAATATCACCTGAAGCTCCTGGTGTGTTTTTAGGTTGACTTCCTTATGCGTGTTTTTTATCTGCACTCTATTCCATCCCCACCTGAACTGTGGCCATGGGCTTTTATGACCTCCTCCTTGTGTACGGTTATAGTGGTATTATTAGAAAACTTCCTGCAGTGTCAGACTGTGAGTGGAAAGTTGTCACAAGAGTGCAGCAGAGGTTTTTTTTACCAAACTCCTAGGAGGAAGCAGGAAAGTGCAAGCCGAGAGTGGCTGGTTTCCCAACCTCCCCTGGCACTCCCTAATCCCTCTGTGCATTATGGTGCATCTGCTCTGTACCATCTGGGTTTGCAGGTCCTGCTTGCCACTGATTCCAGCATGTCTGTTCCCAAAAGTTTCTCAGAAAGTCTTGTTGGGTGATGAAGAGGTTGAGGGCTCCAGATAGGCATTGTCCTCCCCATTTTGTCTTTCAACAGTCCACTGAAAAACAGTGGACCCCAGCAAATGCCTGGGCTGCTTTGCTGCTTGGTGTTTCTGTTAGGTTACCCCAGGCAGTCCACACTGATCTGGGAGTGGACTAGCTCGTGGTTCCGAACAGAGAAAACCTTTCAGCATTCACGAGTCGCCAAATCACACCATATCACTTTCACACGTTGTCTCCTTGCACTTAAAAGATAATCTTGGTGGTATGGCTGCTTCCCAAGGATTTAAGACATTTCTCTCCTGTGGGAGGAGAAAGTGGTGGCAGAAACGTGATTTGGGCGTGAACAGTCACATGAAGTTCCCTGCAGAGACACTGAGGGCTTTGTCACTTCCCCGAGAGGGTGGACTTCAGTTTGACTGTAGCTTTGGGAATTCTCAGAACCCCGAGTTGGACCTAGTAGACCTTTCCTGGGGAACAGGAGCATTGTCTCAAGAAATTTGAAAATGGCAAGGTTCATACTGTTTAACTGACTCCAGGCAGCTGCCCAGGTGGAAGTGGGGAGGGATTTTTGCCTTAATGATTGGCACCTGGAGGTAGTCTGGGTGTTAGAAAGCCCTTGGCCAGTGATACAGCTGAACTTTGACTCCACGTGTCTATTAAGTTTTCTTTGGAGCCACTTGGAGTAGGACAGTCCTGGGTTCAGAGAAATGGTAATATTTAACCAGGACAAACAAGGAGTACTTGCTGCTGGTCCAGAGAAGAGTGCCGTGCACATTAATTCGCAAGGTGTGACCCATCCAGGAGTGCTCCTAGGAGATGGTGTGACCTGTCCAGGAGTGCTCCTATGAGATGCTGACACGTTCATGCGCATCACTGAGCCACTGCTGCTCCGAGGGCCTGTGCAGGAGACCAGGGTAAACGGGCACATGGCCTGCTCTAGTTTCTAATCTGACAGGAGAGCTAAGAAATGCTCACTGATCCTCACAGCATGCCCTGGCGTGATAAGGGCAGTCAAAACTTGCCAAAAGAACCTGTGAGGGATCTGAGGGGGAATGGGGCAGAGTCCTATGATAGGAGGTCCTGAGAGCAGAAAGCCTATGGCACGAGAGGGTATTCCAGGTGAAGGAGCAGCAACTTAAGTCACTTCCGCACACTCTCAGCTCCACGCCCCCAGGCGCCACCTCACTCTTGTGGGCTCTGGGATCTGTGGGCCGGTGATGGGTCTGCTGCTTGTGGTGCACCATCTTGTCTGACCAGTCTCTCTGGAAGTTCTCTCTGTCCTTGGCCTCTTTACATTGATAACTCTCACCTCCTTCCGCCGGTTCCCTCTTCCTGTCTCCTGCATTTTGGGGTTTCCTAGAGTTTTGTCCTTGACTTTGTTCTCAGTGTGTACCTCTCCAAGTAAGTCCTCCCCCTTTCATGGCTTCAGAGTA